ACCCACCCAAGATCGAAAAACCGAATGAGAGTCTCGTTTCGGCGAGTTTTTGACTGTCCTTTTCTTCCTCACTGACGCATTATTTCGAACCACTTCTTTCGTGATTTGACCCACATCAAATAAACGCCCTAATTGCTTTGATTCAACCATCTCATTACATGTGGTGAAATTTTGTGTATTATGGATATTTCCAGTATAAACGGAATGCTTCTAATCGTCAAGGGCTAGCGTATAATATGATGTGCATACTAATGGACGAGTTCACATTGTTATCCAACTATCCAATACCGATCGACACTTCGCTGTGCACAGCGGTTGTTGCAGAGAATGATGCATATGTTCTTCGTGGCCATGGTGCCCCGGATTTCAAGGTAAGAACCTGTTCTGTTATTATTGTAAGATTTGGAGCAAGCTTTCATGTAGAAAATAGGCCAACGCGGAAACGAGGCGAGATATTTTCCATCTCCAAATCCGTTTTTCTTCATTTTTACTCCTATTGCTACGTGCATAGAGCTTCATGAGTTCATTAGATCATTTTCAACGAAAGCTCGTAATGTTATTTGACTATCATGTTTGCAGCAAGTTTGGCCAGGAATGCGGGTTCTCGAAATCAATGATGCTGGACACGTGACCGCCTACCTTCAAGGGCATCGTATTTTCCGGGATACAATAGCGCAAACCTTAAATCGCATGGAGTCCGCTCACTGATTACTAGTCACTTTCCAACATTTAATTCTTTCATAGGTCAGTTGTTGATTCAAGAATAGTTATTACTGTTCCACTGCTCAAGGCGGTGCCCCTTTCAGGCCCCCTAATCTTTGACCCGCGGTCCGCTTTAACTGGTGAGACAGGAATATTGGGAGTTTTATGGTACTAAATCACCTGCAGTAGCAAGATGAAAAAAGATTTGTACTATTTATTTAGGAATAATAGATAATTTTTAGTTCTAGAATTCTTTGTTGCTACATGGCTTCATAATTGTTGTTTCTTACCTGTTACTCGCTTGTGAATCGGAACACTCTAGTGCCTTTCGAATTAAGAAGATAGATGTAAATGTTTGTGAACTGTACAGCATCTGTTCACCATATCTGAACTTTTCAACAAGTTTACGGTTTCGCCATCATTTAAGTTCAATTTTATCACTGTTGTCATTATTTTCGTTCCATAAACCGTTTTCTTGTTAATGGTGTTTCCTATTTTTGCTAAAGGTAATGCTTCCAGAAGGTCACATGCGGCCGAATCGGAGGCATTATTAGCCTGTAGGTTCTTACCTCCATCGAATAACTCATCACGTATCTTCTCCCGGTTCATCACAGCCTTCCTTCTGTACCCGCTTACTTCATCGCAGTACCACACAATTCCATAAAAGCGCACCCGGGACTGAACCAGTAGTGCTCCCTTTGGTGAGTAGTACAGAAATGTTGGCGAAGGCACTCCCACTTCTCAACGTGCGCGATAAGGGCGTTGGGGCATTACCAAGGCTCTTAGGGGCTTTCCTACCACTCTGTGTGCAGTGGCCGGGTGTCCGCTTAATCTCGTACAGCGTGTTCTATCTTGTCCCATGTTCTCAACCCTTTGTGCCTTTCCTTCAAGCCGAAAGAATGATTTTCCAAAATGGTTTTTAAGTTTTCAATGGTATCTTACTATCCGTCTGGATGAAGATGCAGAAGGTATGTACAAAATTGTAGAAATGCTAGATTTTATAAGCAATCTTAGCCCCGTTCCCCAGCCTTCCTCTACAACATATATATGCTAACAGCCAGGTGGCGCGTGTCGACGCTAAACAGTCCGTGTACATTATCGGTCCGAAAAGTCGGATATTCAAGATTAAGCGACCACTGATCAAAAAACACGAAAAAATTCGCCGCGATACGCGCACAGTACTGTTCGTAAATGGGTTAAAAATGAGCCGAAAGGCGTGCCCCAAGAATCAAATTGGTGCCCGAATACGAAGGTATTGGATGTGAAATGGGCCGGCATTAAAGAAAAAGGAAAAGTCTGTCGAGAACGCTCAGGTTAAGGGTTTACTTATCTTCGTAATCGGCTATGCTAACCATCCTACTTACTACATATAAGAAGCGCCTCGTCTGTCGTCTGTCGTTCTGCATGTCTGTCATGAAATTCCCTAGCACCTGAGAATCCGCCTGAAGAGAGTCAACTGGTGGGATTGGGTGGGCAAGTATAGACAAAATAGTACAATAGATATACAACTCCAGCTTACGGCTCCCGCCCGTGGCGTGCGCGTGTGTCGAAATGAGCGTATGTTTGACCAGATTATCAATTCTATTACAAAACAGTCTCGAGACAAGGGAAAACAGCAGGTAAAAGTGTGCATTGGTGAGTCTGATCGAATATGGGAGACCCAACCGCGGTGGGGGGCGTTCTCTAAAAAAGCAGTGCTTTGTTAAAAATCTCGTAACTCGGTGATAAAAAAAAAAATACCTACAGAGCAGAAAACAAATTGTATAGGGGAGTAATGTCTGAGGTGTTCTCAGCAAAGGGCGGGGGCCGCTCTTAATGGGGCGGAGCGCGCTCTGAAGTGTACGGCCTTTTCTACAAGTCCTCATAATTCGGGCCGGTGAAGTCTAAGTGAGCCGGAAAAAGGTGTAGTGAGGTGAGTGGAGGAGCGGAGGTCAAACATCATCGGTGGGCTGGGCATGATCAGAGTGGGTGGAGTCTACGAACGAAATCCATGACCTCGAACTTTTAAGTCCCAGGAGGCCGGGAAAAGGTGGGTGGAGGTGGGTGGAGGAGTGGAGGCCAACTGTCATCGGTGGGCGGGGCATGTTCAAAGTGGGCGGAGTTATCAACGAAAATTCATAACTCGGTTCCAAGAGGTCCTGGAGACCGGGAAAAAAGTGAACTGAGTCCGTCAACGGAAGGGAGGTCAACTGCTTGGTGGGTAGGGCGTGCAACAACGTGGGCGGAGTTTGCCCTAAACTTACAATTTAGGTCCGAGGAGTCCAGGAGACCGGAGAAAGAGTGGGTCGATTACTACAACGCACAGGAGGGCAATCGCTATTGGAGGGTGGAGCGTGCACCAAAGCGGGCGGAGTTTGCGACTATAAATTCATCAACTTCGGTTTACAAAAATTCGCGGAGACTCCGGAAAAAAGTGGATGAGGTGGGTGAAGGAGTGGAAGCCAACTGCTATCAGTGTGCGGGACATGTCCAAAGTGGATGGAATTAAGAAGGGAGTGAATTTTTAATGGTGTGCGGAGGATACACCAAAGAAGCAAATTTCCAAGCCTCGTAAGTTTTCTATGCGAGCTGGAAATCGCACGCTAATGATTTCGAAGAGAACTATGGTCACTTCGAGATTAAAAATTCGTGAGCACAAAAACGGAATAACGAGGCGTTTTTCCAAGAAAGTTGGATTTCCACGATTTAATTTTTAAAAAGGTAACAATCGCACTTTTTTATTTTCTTAGACGCTTCGCATAGTGTTCCACTTGAAGAAAATTATGAACTCCACAATGAATACGTAGCAAATTTTTCTGAACTGTCAGGTTAAAACCATTGCGCGCCAGCTTCATGCGTGTTACGCTTCCGAGTGCCGTTTGCGGGCCGCGATTCAAATGCCTACAGGCGCTCTAAAAGTCGCATCAAGTGCCTAAAAATGGCTGGAGTGAGTCGTATCGAGACCCTTAAGAGGGTAGAGGATCTTGAAATGTCGAATTGGCACTACGCGATGGCTGAATGAGAATATCTCATTATTAAATTATCGGTCTAGTACTCCTTAAAGTTAAATATGGGACCAATTGATGCGGAAATCTCCCTTTCCAATTAACTAAGTTATTTAATTCAAGCTGGAATCACACGAGGCCTGTCTGGCCTAGCCAATGTATGGCTGTAATGTCACTTGCCCTCACCTCCTTACCTCATCATTAATATGCATAATAAACCTCAAAGACATCAAGAGAATGATTGAGAATAAAAAAAAAGCAAAAAATAAACCCCCCCCTAAATGAAAGCAAATAAATTAGACGATCAAAAAATTCACAATGTGTATATGGTGTACTTTACAGACAGTGCTCGTAGCCTCACGGCAATGGCAAAATGCGGGGAAGGAAAACGAACAACGCTGGACATTTCTTGGAGACTTGTTGTGAAGAATTTGTTCTCTATTTCTTCTTCTATTCTGTAGTAAACTTTCTAATGAATCTAACAAGACTCGTTAACATTTTCCACGATTATGTTCCAACGTTTCACCAGCACGCATTTTGGAATCATGAATTGGAGCCTGAACGTAGAGTTATGCATTTTTAAACGCTAGCATGAAATTAATTCAATCTTATACAATTTCTAAATGTATGGGACAGTCAACAGGCAGGATTTTGGATTTGATGCTCCGTGAGACATTATACGCTTGGAAACGTTTGGAAAAATAATATGTACAAAACGTAATCTACGCTTTGTACAAGCTAGGAGTTCAGTATGAGAGCCCACCTACATTCACACTTTCTTCACTAAATTTCACGTGTGATCTAATCATAGAAACAACATAATTTATGGAACTGTCTAGCTTTGCAATGATGAATGAAAGCTTGTTTCTCCACATTGTTTTTGTTTGTTTTTTATGCGGTGGATGCCAAACAAATCCACGAGAAGAATATGCAATCCTTCGTGAGCCAGAGCATTTAAGCCGTATTCCCCCCCCGGGGACATGAAGTGTAGTTATCATTGGTAAAGGACTTGTCGAAGCAGGAAGACCAGTAGAATTCAAGAAAAGCGAAGTGGGGTGCTCTTGTCTTGCTCACTAGGGCGTTGCTGAAAATGTACAAATAAGACCACCAACCCCTCCCCTTCGGGTTTGGTCAGTCGCTCAAACGCCTTGTGAAAACACCCAGCAGACCCTCCTCGCATCTACACATCTTAAAGCTCGTCGTGCTGTTGAGTGAGTACGTATGTAATTGCCAAAACAATAAACCCGACTTTCCGCTTCTTTCTTAGACTTCACCATTCCCGTCATCCCCGCTGGCCCAGAGTGATACCGTCGAACAGGTCCTCTCCCATATGATCCTCCCACTCTATCACATTTCGAACTGAACTCCCAACCTTACTAAAAATACCATCCCCTCCCCCTCCTTCCTCTGTTCGTTAGGTTCGGCTGATGGTGAGGAGATAGTGTAGCTCGGTGTGGTCTGTAAGGTCCTCCGCTCTAGTAGGCGAACTCGAACCCTTCCCCTCTCCTCATCCTCTTGTATGGGCGCTAATTGAGTTGGGGGGGGGTATCTCAGCGTGATGGACTTAACCTGATCGCCTAGGAAGGAAGAGCTCTGAACATTTTGATTTGTGACTTTGCAGAACCCAACTCTGGCACATTTGAGCCTCCTCTTAAGCCCAAGCTCAGTGCTATCGCGCTGGACCGCGACGCACCGAGCCGCCGCGTGGTCCCATCCTCCCCCCCCCCCCCCAAACCCTAGCACCCTCGGTGGTGCTTCCCGCCGGTCGCACTGAAAGTGATTTTTTTGCTGAACCTCAAAAGGCACGAACGCGTGGGCATGCGGGAGCATACTTGAGACACATCAGACCTGACGGTGAAAATCGGTCGAAGATTTGTCGACGACTCGTCTGTGCAGTCACGCTCCCCCGCGCGCACCTTTCAACTCTTACCACGCGCGAGCCTTCTGTGATCTCCGCGCTTGCATTCACTCTCGACGCGATTCTCACTCAGTACAGAGCTATGGTCGAGGATTCCTCACTTC